ATTTTAGAGGGAATGCTTTCAATTCTTCTCCATTTAGAATGATGTTGGGCTTGGGTTTTATGTATATAGCTTTTACAATGTTAAGGTATGTTCCTACCATTCCTAGTTTTTCTAGTGTTTCAAACATAAATGGATGCTGTATTTCATCAAATGCTTTTTCTACATCTATTCAGATAATCACATAATTCTTGTCTTTAAGTCTACTGATTATTGATTTCCATATGTTGAGCCAACCTTGCATCCCTGGGATGAAACTGACTTGATCATCTTTTTTAATATGTTTACATACTTTATTAAGAATTTTTGCATATATTTCTAGGATATATATAAAGAACTCAAAAAACTTAACACCAAAAAAAAAAAAAACCCAATCAATAAATGAGCAGGGGAACTGAATAGATGCTTCACAGAAGAAATACAAATGGTTGACAAATACATGAAAAAATGTTCAACATCTCTAGCAATTAGAGAAATGCAAATTAAAACTACAATGAGATTCCACCTCACTCCAGTCAGAATGGCAACCATCAAGAATACAAGTTACAATAAATGTTTGTGAGGATGTCCGGGGAATGTACACTCATTCATTGCTGGTGGGACTGCAAATTGGTGCAACCACTTTGGAAAGCAGTATGGAGATTCTGTAGAAAACCTGGAATGGAACCACCATTTGACCCAGTTATCCCACTTCTCAGTATATACCTAAGGGATTTAAAATCAGCATAGTAAGGTAACGCAGCCACATCAATGTTTATAGCAGGTCAATTCATAATAGCTAAGCTATGGAACCTAGGTGCCCTTCAACAAAAGAATGGATGAAGAAAATGTGAGATATATATATATATATATATATATATATATACACACACACATATACATATACACATACGTACACACACACACACATATACACAATGGAATATTACTCAGCTATAAAGAAGAATGACTGTATCCCTTTTGCTGGTAAATGGGTGGATACAGAGACTACCATGCTAAGTGAAATAAGCCAATCCCAAAAAAACAAAGGTAGAATATTCTCTCTGATATGCAAATGCTAACACACAGCAGGGGGTGGGCTGGGGGAAGAATAGAATTTCAACAAATTAGACAAAGAAGAATGAAGGGAAGGGAGAAGGGACAGAAATAGGAAAAACAATACAATGACATAACTTTTCTATGATCATATATGAATACACCACCAGTGAAACTCCACATCATATACAACCACAGAATGAGATCATAACTAGAATAATTTATAATCCATGCATAGATAATATGTCAAAATACTCTACTGTCATGTATATCTAAAAAGAACAAATAAAATAAAGAGGGAGGAAAAGAGAGTTGCATAACTTTAGCAATGCTTAGATTCCTCACAGTTTTCCAGTTCTGGGTGTAAATGAGAAATGAATGGTCCATCCATTTTAAACATTAATAAGAGCTTGCAAATGTTTAATATATGTGTTATATTACATTATTTTAGAAAAATATTCACTTCCTCTTTACCACCTCCAAGGGAAGAATATATTTCCTGGTCCCCTAACTTTGGACTTGGTCAAATATCTTACTTTAGCCAACAGGATTTTAGCAAACATCATGCAAGCAGAGGCTTATATACTTTTGTAGTTAGGCTTGCTCTCTTATACCTATGCCATCACCACAAGAATATGCCAGCTAGCTCGCCCAAGGATTAGGGACATCTGGACCAAGCATTTAGCATAAAGCCACTTGATCCCAGCCTATATCAGTCAACTCCCAGGTTGCCCATGTACAAACAAAATAAATGCTCACTATTTTATGTCAACATGATGTTTGTTTTTGGTTTTGTTGTTGTTTGTTACTCAGCAATAGCTAGCAAATACACTGCACTAAGGACTCAGGGCTATGGCCACTTAAAGACTGTCCTTAATCTGATACTTTCCACAAGCTCTTAACAGTATCCATTAAAACCAACTAGCTAGGCCCTGTGCTAGAAACAGACAACAGAGATTAATAACACATCATCTATCCCCAGGGAGAACTCCCATTCTAATGAGAAAGACTCTAATAATCCTGAAATAATAAAGGAGTTTCCTAGCAGAATGAGGAGCGAGTGAGTGGGACAGAGGGAGGAATGGCGGGGTAGGTAATTGGGGGCTGTCAAAGTAGAGTAGAGGAGTGGAGGATGAGCAGTCACTGACCACGTAGAAAAGATTTTTAAAACTCCAAATAGGTACATGTATACCATTAAATGTAAAAATGTGCAGAGCTCAAACGGCAGCCACAGCTGAACTTGATACTATATTGATTTAGACAGCAATTTGGAATGAATACAAGTGCTGGTCAACTAGGGTTTTTATTATACTAAGAACTACTGAATTCCTGTTGCAAAGCAACAAAAGAAGACAGTGTCTACCTAAAAAAGTATATATGTGGGGCTGCAGTTGTGGCTCAGCAGTAGAGCGCTCACCTCATACCTGCGGGACTCTTGAGTTCGATCCACAGCACCACATAAAAATAACTAAGTGATATTGTGTGAAACTACAACTAAGAAATAAATATTTTTTAAAAGTATATATGTATAAAGATAGAGGGAGAGAAAGAATGAAAATTAACCCCTTACCCAAAATGTTTTGGACCAGAAATGTTTCAGATTATTTTGAATTTTTGGAATATGTGTGTGTGTGTGTGTGTGTGTGTGTGTATATATATATATACACATACACATATATGTATATATATATATATACACATAAACATATATGTGTATATATATATATATATACATACACATATACATACTATCTTTGGGATGGAACCAAAGTCTAAACATGAAATTCATTTATATTTCATATACACCTTATACACAGCATAAAATAATTCCATATAGTATATTTAGTATACCTGCATTTTGACTGCTACCCATCCATGAAGTCAGGTATGGAACTTTCCACTTGTGGCTCATGTCAATACTTAAAAACGTTTCAAATTTTGGAGCATTTAGAATTTTAGATTAGGAATGCTCAAAAAAAAATAGATAGATAGATACAGATATTATATACATATACATATTTATATAATTTGATAACTTAAAGCTTATATTTACTACTTTGATAATTCTATTTTAAGAGACATTTCCCCCAGCCAGGTGGTTTAACCTTGTAATCCCGAAGACTAGGGAGGCTGAGGCAGAAAGATCACAAGCTCCAGGCCAGACTCAGCTAAGGCCACACTCAGCAACTTAGTGAGGCCGTAAGCAACTTACCAAGACCCTATCTCAAAATAAACCATGAAAGAACTGGGGATATAACTCAGTGTTTAAGCGCCCCTGGGTTCAATCCCAGTGGGGGGGGGGGAGATATTTACTTCATTATAGACAGTGCTCATGACAATGATCTCTAAGGATATTCATTTTGTTGTCCTACAATACCATTTATAACATTACAGCGAAACCAAAATGTTAATGCTCTGCAAAGACTGTCAGTAAGAAATAATCTTAATGATCTTAATGCTAACAAGTTATGTCGAAACAACACTAACAGACTACTGCATGAAACATGCCTCAAGACAACTCCAAAGAAAATCCAAAAACTACTTAAAACACCATTTCAAGTAAGCTGCAAAGCTCTTCTCCAAATACAAGACGCAGAAGTGGAAAGCTTACTTGGGTAAAGTTTTCTGCAGGAGACCTCAAGGAGTTTGGAAAGAATGTCAGTGAGCACAAATCAGAATTCCCGTCAAACCTACACAAGAGTGACCCGAAACAGCAGTAACTCTCAAGTACTAGAAGACACCAACGTTCAACAAACCCACCCACGCACTCCGACAAGTACACCTTGGACACAAAGTGTCCCGCTGATCATTTCAAGCCACAGGATAAACCTTTGCCTTTCACATCACGGCGAGAGAGGGAGAGAAACAGTCTTCCTGATCTCTTTACGCTCCGCTATATGCAAAGAAACCAAGGCAATCCAAGTGGTGTCATCGTCCCAGCATTGGCGACCTCGTGGATCTCCAAGAGACTTAGGGACGGGGGTGCAGACTGGGAATCGGTGACACGTTCCAAACTGGGAGTTAAGAAAGAACCCTAGGGAAGGAGGCAAATCAGAAGCTGGAAAGGGGCAGTGCGCGGTGGGGAGCTGCGGTTCCACGTATCAGACTGGCGAGCAAGGGAAAGCCCCCCAGACAAACGTCTAAAAAGGGGTCTTCTACTTGGATCTGAGTTTCCCAGGAGCTCAGCCATGCCAGACTGGCTACCCGCCCAACCCCACCGGTTTCTTTTTTGATGGGACTTAGGTGAAGCAAGAGGGCGCTTCTCCAGTAGCTCCCGGCAAACTGAGAAGTAACTCTTGGTGCCAGTCCGCTCTCCAGGTACCTGCCAGGGGAGTGGCCAGAGGCATAGGTGAGGCGAGCAGGCATCTGCTTACCTGCCGCAGGAGCTTCCATCGGGCGGCTCCCAGGGGCGTCGAGACTGCAGGCTCCCGAGTAGTACCTCCAACAACCAGTCTCTCACAGGGGGCTTGCTCAGTCTCGCAGGTCCCGGCGTCCGCGACTAGCGATTCCATCCCACTGGAATAGTCTGTTCGTGGAGGTACTGCCGCCACAGCTCTCCCCTGTCAGGACCTGCCAACTTCTTCCCTGTCAGGACCTGTGACGCCAAGGCAGCTGCCTATGGTCCTTGCGCGCGCGCCCTCCCCGAATTCCGCATTTCCGGTATTCACGTCTCCTTGGCAACCAGGGTAGCGCTCTCACGTCATTGCACCATTTCGCTGGTGGCCATCTTGAGTGAGGGCAAACCAGAATGTGAGGTAGTAGTGGCTGAGTTAGTGGGGTGCTTTTCTCATTGCTTTCTTTTATCCTTCTTTCGTCTCAAGCTCAAATGTTTATCCCAGACCCAAAAGGATCATATTTTGGAAGACTATAGAAGCCAGGAATAAAAAAGTCCGACCCTAACCACAATAAAGATGGCGAAATATGCTTAGTCCTCGTGCTGGATTGTGGTTACGTAGATCGGCGTGCTGCAAACCAGCTCTGGGCGGCTTTGGGTAGGTTGTAGTTCTGCGGGCTGCAGAGCGCAGACTTCGGGCGGACGCAGCTGAGGTGACTGTTGCTTCTCCCTGAGAACTTCGGGTTCTCCTCCTGTCTTCAGTCGTTTGTGTCCAGAGCCGGACTTTGAATTTGCGTATGTATTGGGGGGTGTGCTGGAGGTCTCTTCCATAATCCCTTCCCGCCCCCCACCCAGCCACCCCTCAGTTCCCTGGTCCCCCTTTTTTCACCCGTGTCTTTTCGCTGCGTGTTAACTGGTACCACTCTCTCTTGCACCGAGATTGTCACATCCCAGAGGGGAATGTTGCACGGAGAAAATGAATAGATACCCTCCTAAGAACACCCATTTGTCTTCCCCACCGCCCCTCCCTAGCCTTGCGTAGCGTTACTCGGTGCAGATGAAGAATGTGATGGATTGAGGCTGTGGGGATAGATAGAGTGATTTAGGGGCCTTTTTCTTTTTTGTTATTGTCGGCTGCTGCTCCCTATCCCCACTTGCCCGTTATTTTGCTGCGACATAGAAGGAGACTAAGGGGGGAGGGGGGCGTCGTCGCTGATCAGATCTGTGCTAAATCTGACGCAGTGTTCTACCCATGACAACAAGGGGCATTTTGGTAGAATTCCATGATTACATTCAACAATATGCGACATATCTAGATTACTCCTGAGCTAGTAATATTAATTATCTTTTGTTGAGTGGTTACTACGTGCCAGACACTTACGGTTTTAATGTAAATTGCCTCATTCTTAAACAATAATCCTAGAAGGTGTCATTATTTTAGTTTTGCTGATGAAGAAACTGAGGACCAGAGCTAGTTATGTGCAGGGTGCAAAACCCGAACCCAGGTCTCTGATTCTTAACTGCTTCACTAGCTATCAAGGTTAAAAAGAACCCAACTACCAGCATAAACCAGAGATGACCTCATGTTTTATTTGTGCATCTTTGCAGTGTTTCTGTTTTTTAATTAAAAAGGGAAATGCCCTTTCAAAGTTAAAGCCTTACAGTTTATGTCCAAAATTGGGCTTTTTTCTATACAACTTTCTGTCCTAGTGAACTGAGGCAGTTGCTTAAACCTTCCAGAGCCACAGTTTGCCCACCTGTAAAATGAGCATCTTTACAGCTACTTTATAAAGTCCATATAAAGTTTACATTAGACAAAAAGTATCTGGCACACAGTCAACACTTAACAAATATTAATCTCCCCTACATTATTAAGTTATTGGGTTTTTCCTATAGATCCCCCACATATATACCAAAGATATGTTCAGAATTATATAAGATTCATTCCATTTTGCTTATTAAGCCCTCAGAGTTCCTGATTTTCTCCATTAAGACTATGTACTTATTTGCAAATGTTTATTCCTTATTTTCTGTTTTTGTTTTTTTTTTTAGTTTGCCTTTATGAGTACCAGAATTAGCACTGCATAGCTAGAGGCTAATAAAATTGACTTTAAAAATGCAACTTTTAAAGTCACGCCTGTCAAGAAGTATGATTTAAGTGAACTAACCTAAGTCTTTAAAATTTATTTAACCTAAGATACAAGCGATCTGCAGATATTCATAACCTATGGGGTGCATAGCCATGAAGGAAAGGGATAATAAGATCTGGTTATCCTAAATGCCTGAGAACTCACTACTATACTAAATCATTCGTGTCCTGGCAGCCCCAAAGGGAGCATAAACCAGGGACTTTGATATCATGCAGCAGAAGACCAAATTATTTCTCCAAGCTTTGAAGTATAGTATTCCTCACCTTGGGAAATGCATGCAGAAACAGCATTTGAATCACTGTAACTTCGCTGATAATTATTACAGTAGAATAAAATTGAAAAAATATCACCTAACCAAGTGTCTACAGAATAAACCCAAGATATCAGAGTTAGCAAGAAACATCCCAAGTCGGAGCTTCTCATGTAAGGTATGGACTGTTTAAGTTAACCTATTTGTAGGTCATTTATATTAACTTTAGCTTTAAAATAATGGATAGACTATTAGAGCTACTAATTTTCTCAGTTATTCTATCTTGATTTTTTAAATTTTCACTCTCAGTTATCTGTAAGTCTAAAAGAATACATACATATCTCTTTATAGATCTGTATTCCCCCCCCCCAAAAAAACATAAGTTTACACAAAAATTATTCACATCATTACTTCTGTAATGTGCCTGCCAATGTAATCCCAGTTTCTCTGGAACAGTACCACTCTTAACACCTATTGTCCCTTGAGATTATTAATAGTCCCCTCACCTCTCAAAAGTGTCCTGGTTAAGATGTTAAATGATATGATCATCCTACTTATTTATTTGCAATGAAGCTACCTACTTATGCTACTGCCTCTTTGGCAAACATCCTCTACCTTTTACTTAATGTTCCTTAGATTAAGTTATATTTGGGGGTAATAGTCTTGCAATATTTTGGCAATTTTATGACTGATTATTTTTTTAATTTTAATTATTTTGCATACTGATCTTTGGCTTTCTCTTGTTTTAAAACATGTATAACATAAAATATGCCAGTTTAGCCATTTTTAGGTGTGCAGATCAGTGGCATTAATTATATTCATAATGTTGTACAACTTTCACCCCTATTTGCAAAACTCTATCATCACCTCCAAAAATGTACCTATTAACTCTCCACTGTCCCTTTTCATTAGGCCCTGGTACCTCTAATCTACTTTCTGTCCTTACAAATTTGCCTATTCTACATATATCATACAAGTAGAACAATATAACTTATATAATTTTATGTTTGGTTTATTTTACTTAGCATAATGTTTTTCAGGGTTTATTCATATCAGTATGTACAGAACTTCATCCATTTTTGTAGGAATAACATTGTGTTGTATATATAAATCACATTTTATCTATTCATCTGTTGATGGAAACTTACGCATTTTATGTTTTTAAGAAGCTATCTTTTATGATAGCACTCTCCTCCCAATCACGACAACCAAACATGTCCCCAGACGTTGTCTCATGTCATCCAATGGACAAAATCAGCTCCCAGTTGAGAAGCACTGAAGCAGAGCAGTGGCCAGCCTGTGGGAAGGACTGACTGAGACTTAGCTAACAATGTCTCCTCACCATTTGGTAGAAGTAATGTTGAACCCTTTCCATTCATTGGCTCATTAATTCTCCCAATAGCCCAATGAGTTATGTATCTTATCTTCATCATTATAAATAAAGAAACTCAGAGTGGTAAAAATCTTGCCGAAAGTCACTCAGCTAGCTAACTGTGGAGAAGATCTCCAAGCAAAGTCAGCTGGACCCTCAGTCCTGAGCTTTTCTTGCATTGATACTGTTCCAAATAATCACACTCTCACCAGATAGCCATCAGGGACACTGCCCCTTTAAAAAAAAAAAAAAAAAAGCTATCTTTTTAATCTTATTTTATCTAATTTTTCTAGTTTGTATTCAATTTTTGCATTTCTCTTAGCTCATAACTATTTTATGGTTGTGTTTCTCTGGCTTTTAACTTTTTTAAGTTGGGTCCCTATTCTCCCTGGACTTTTATTCTTTACATTTTAACCTTTGAAATTGTTTTTCTCTTTGTAGCATTTTGGCTTAGTTTGGCACTTTGATTCTTTACACACTTAAATTCTTTGTGCTATTTATTTATTTATTTATTTATTTATTTTTCATGGTCTTGTCCTGCTTTATAGTGGTAAACTTTTGAATTTACCTACAATTTTGGACCTTTAGATTGCTTTAATTTGCATTGCATTGTGTTCAGAACATTTTGTCATTTTATACTCAGTTTATAAATAGTAAGCAGGAATTACTGTCAGCTTGGCAGCTGTGAGATTAGCTCACACCCTAAACAGGAGGTGGACTATTTTTTTCTCTCCATTTGTCCCTGAAGCAACTTTTCAGTTCTCACAGATTCCCATTACTTAGAAACTAGAATGTTTCAATAACTTCAAGAATAGCTCTTTTAGTACTTCTTTTAACCTGCTATTGGTCCTGCTTTCACACATAGTATGTCAACTATTCCCTCTTTAATAAATACAGGAGTAGTTTAAAAGCTATTGTCTTTATCCTCTATGATCACTAAGACCTGGGGAAGCTTTATAGAGATACCCCCTCAGCTGTGACGATAACCTAGAATGCACATTTCCTTCTTTCTGCAAGCATCTACAAGTTCCAGCTTTGATTGCTATAACTGGATATAGCAAAGTAGAAAAATAATTGTGCTTTTCCACAAATTTAAATGCATCTGTTTAAAGTAAGCCCTATTACTTATGTAAGTTAAATAAAGAACAGAAGAAGGTACCATGTGTAATGGAAATGCTGGAAGATAAAAGGTAAATCCATAACTAAACTACTTAGAATTCTTAATTTTCCTGATTGGGGAAAAAAAATACAAAGTTTTAACTTAGTATTCTCTAAAAGTCCAAGTACTACAATTTCATAATTCTATACCTCTACCTGGTTACCTAAGCAACAGATTATCACCTATAAGTTTGGGATTTTTTAGTAACAACTTCTGCAGTCTAGTTATATATTAGAAATCCTGAGGAACATTTTAGAAATGCAGATAGACTGGATCTCACCCTGTATTTGCTGGATCAGAATAGCCAGGAAGCTTAAGGATATGTTTTTCAAATCTCCTCAAATAATTCTGAAACTCATAGCCTGCTACTGTCAGCATACCTGTGTTTAGATGCTTGGTAATCAGATGTTGTTGACCTAAATCTAATTGACTTCTTGAAATTGTGAAGTTCTTTTTTGGCAAGTACCTTAGCTTTCCATTTTGCATTTGCCAGGTGGTAGTATGAAACTTATTCCATTACACTCACGTGCCAGCTAGTAATACTCAGAAGGCTGGCCTCAAACCAGACACCACATTTATCTTCCATACCATCCTGCACTGTTCTGCCTACAAAAATAATTTTTAAATTTTTTTGACAAAAAATTGAATAAGTGGGGCGGGGGATATAGCTCAGTTGATAGACTGCTTGCCTCACATGCACATGGCTCTGAGTTCAATCCCCAGCACCACAGAAAAATTTTTTTAAAAAATTGAATAAATAAAAGCAGTACTAAATCCTTTGGTTAAATATGTGTCATTTGTCTGTATTTATAATACAGGCTGACAAGGTCCTGCAGTAGTCACCAAATTAGATGCACTGACAGACTTATTTTTCACTAACACTATTACATGTGGTTTACAAGAATCACTGGTTTTAATTAGTAGGTTAACCGTCAGAAATGAAGGGAAAAAAAATGAATTTTGAAGGAAACTCAGAACAGAAAAAAATGTGGTCTCACATAACTTTTTTTTTGTGTGGCAAGAATTCATAGAGTGGGTCTGTCTTACTGGTTATTTCTCCACATTCTATTTTCTCTTTAACCTGCTTGAGTTTGACTTCAGCTTCTTCATTAGAACTTCTGCCAAGATCATCTAAGATGTTATGTATTTCAACCCAGTGGATACTCTGCTTTCCTCCTGTTACAGGCCTTCTCAGCAAATTTAACACACTTAACCTAACCTTCTTTTATTTTGACTTTCTGACTCCCCATTTTCCTGGTTTTCCTTTTCTAAACATGGGTCTCCTTTTCTAACCTTTTTTCCATGTGACTTCTGAATTTGAGGGTTTCTTAGGACTTGGTTACCATAGCAACTGTTACCTTCATTCCAGACACCCTTCTGAAATATATGGTATTTTGCTTCCCACCTAACAAGTCTTCAGTTGGACATTTCCTCATCTTCCCAAACAAATTATCCACAGCTGAACTTTAGCTCCCCCAGTCCTAATTCAGCTCTTCTTTATGCCTCATTGCTGTATACCCAGGTGTTCAAGAGCATTTTTTTATTATTCCCATTTTTTTACCCTTTCATTAACAGTATATACCAGGGGCTGGAGTTGTGGCTCAGTGGTAGTGCACTTGCCTTGCATGTGTGAGGCCCTGGGTTCGATCCTTAGCACCGAATATAAATAGATAGATAAATAGACAAATAAATAATTGATCCATTTATAACTAAAAAATATTTTTTAAAAAAACAGTTCTGTGATTTGGGGCATCTGTTGATGTCACCAAGTTTGTAATTTTAATTATTTTAATTAGCTCAGCCCATCCCAAGGAATAATATTCAGTAAATTGCTTGATATTCTAGTTAAAGTCTTTATAATAAAATGTTCACATACCCCCAAATCATCATATAATGTATACAACATGCTTTCAGAAACACTTCAGTAACCTCCAGAATATATATATATGTATTGAATTTGTTTGTATTTCTCCCTGTTTGCCACCATCACTGTAGTTATCATTCACATGGACCCCGGTAAGACTCCTAACCAGACTCTTACTTGCCCTCTTTTTCCATGCAATTAGAAGAATGGCCTTAAAATATAAGTTAATGTCAATTCCCAATTAAAACTTCTCCAAAGTTTTAATATCATAGACATAAAATTGGGGCTGGGGCTGGGGCTGGGGCTGAGCAGTAGAGCACTCACCCAGTATGTGCAAGGTGCTTGGTTCCATCCTCAGCACCACATAAAAATAAGTAAAATAAAGGTATTGTGTCCAACTACAACTAATAGATAGATAGATAAACAGATAGATAGATAGATAAACATAAAATTTAGTTTCATAATTAACACTGTACTTAATCTAGTCCCTCTTTGATTTTATGCTACTCCCCCCCTTCCCCGTTCACTTTGATTAAGCCAAAGAGGTCATCTCCAAATAAAGGAACACCACTCTTTCTGAGTCTCAGGATGTTTATATAAGATTTCCTAATTCCAGTTTTTACTAGTTTCTTCTGTTTTACATATTGATTAAATGTTACTTTCTTCGAAGTTACTTTGGTTACCATGGTCAAAAATGCACAGGAACTAGGCAGAGGGAGCAGCATGTGTAAAAACTCAGGATTAAATTCTACAAGTAATGTAATCAACATGGTCAAAGATGAG